CGCCGCAACAATGGCCGCATCTGACACCGGGACGAACTCGTCACGAGGATCCAGCACTTTGTCAGATTCACCCTCCGCCGGTGTGACAACCTTAATAATCTCGACTTCCTTGTCAGTCGATTTAGCCTTCTCCTCGATATAAGCTTGGACCTTGTTCCGAATCTGCTCCGGGGTCATGTCATCAAAATTTTGCTCAACCTCTACGTCGGCAAGGGTAGAAACGAAGATATCTGCCAGCTCTTTCCTCTTCCCTTTCTCTCATTCCAGAATCATATTAACATAAGCGCGTCGGAGAAGAGCAGCCCTATCCTCGGTGAGTGGAGGCAAATCTGAATTTGGTGCCATCTCTTCACCTCGGCGAAGCATCCGTTCGCAGAATTCTCGCTCATCTTCATACGCTTCGAAGTGCATGCCCTTTATCTCCGTATCAAAGCCGTACTTCTCGAGTTTGTGGAAAAGGAAAAAGCGGAGTTCATCAAAATCGTAATAGCCCGCATTGTAGCGCTCGATGACCCACCGAAGAGTTAGGCAAGTGTTCATCTCTAACTCCAAATCCGGGCCCTCTTCCTCCTCCACTTCGGCACCAACATCATCGGCATGAACAGTTTCCACTTCGGGAATTGTGTCTTTTCCGGCCTGGAAGCCAATCTCATACATGGTTACCCCATAAGACGACTTTTCTTTTTCACGTTTAGCCAACTCGGCTTGATGTGCATCCCGCTGTCGGCCCACGAGTTCACGGACCTCGGCACACTCTTTACGAGTTGCTTCATGCTCGACCTTCTCCTCTGACAGCTTCTTCTCTGTCTCCTCAGCCTTGGCTTCTAAAGCCTTGGAATGCTGCTCGGCGAAGGCAAGGCGCTCTTTAAGTTCAGCCGCCTCGGTCTGAAAAGCCTTTTTCTCCTCGGACAAAACCGAGATCTCAGTCCGCGCCACCTCCAGCTGCACAGTTTGTTCAGAAAGTTTCTCCTTCATGTCAGCCTCAACTTTAGCCATCTCTTCCTTCAAAGATACAATCACGGCATCTCGTGCAGCAATGTGTCCTTCTTCCCATCCAGTTGTGCCGCGATTCGGCTGTGATCATCCTCAGCCGCTACCAAACATACCAGAGCTCGGCCCAGGCACACCTTAGCGTAGCTCAACTTATCGACACTCGATAAAAAAGAAACTCCCACTTCGGACTTAGGGTCCCACACCATCAAAGGTACCCGCGCCGCACTCTTAGTATTTTCTGGCATGTCGACAGATTGAAAAGTAGTAAACAACTCCTCTACGACACCTTTGGGCACCTTAACATTGGCGGCCCGCTCATCATCAATAGACAGAAAAGACCTCTCGAACAGAGGATATTCATCACTACCCTTCTCCGTAGCTTTACGACCGGAGTCATGTTTCTTCTTCGATGTCTTCTCCACTCCGGAAGAAGCACCAACATCAGACATTTTTACCAACTTTCTTTTCTTCCTCTTCTCCGGTTGATTAGACTCCATGGACTTTGGAGGAGATGATGGTTTCTCCAGTTTTTCTCCCGGCACCTCGGTGTGCACAAGCTCGGTCATGGCCAATTCGGTTCCTATCACATTTGGTTCAGGCTCTGCCTGATTGATCGCAGCAGCATTCACAACTTGTGTCACCTCGGTAGGCACAACTTCTTCCGGAAGCTTCGGACTTCCTGGAACAGCAACCGAAGTCGCGCTTGACCCCGCTTTGGTCGATTTTTGCCGGCAGTCTTTTGGTTGGCAGTTTTTTCATCAAAGTGCGCACCAAATCCCTCCTCATGATGTTGTTTAATCGCAGATCCCGGCTTTTGCCGAACTTGGATTGCAGATCCTTATTCGGATACTTACGCCTGAAGTCCTTTGCCTCTTTAATAGTACGATAGCCTAAGAATCCGAGGAGCGGATAGTATACTGCATTCAGATGTTAAACGACCAAAATTACTAACAGCTATTTTACATATATTGAAATGTTGGCAAAGCCGCCAGACTTTAAAGTTCCCTTACTGGGGTCAAATTTCAAAGTAGAGACTCCGGGAGATAGACCAGCAGCTTCAAGCTTTGGATCTACCACGAGTTTGCGATAATCTCGTATATCTTTGTCCAAGTTGGCGAGTGTGAGCAGCTTTCCACCGAACTCCGGACTCAACCTCGGTTCCTTCTGCTTTATCTCTTTTTCTACAAAGAACCGACCTGTTAGTACACACAACAATACCAAAATCAGAAAAATATACAAACAATACAGAATGAAATGAACTCACTTGCTCCAGAATGAATAAACATCGGGATTGTCATCCCATCGACCCGAGGTTCATGGAAAAAGCTTTCGGATTGCCATTCTCCACCAATCCATAGCCACTTTTCCTGGAAACCATGAAGAGTCTCCAGGATGTCAGTTATTATCTCATCGAGTTTAAGACCATGTTGAGGTTTCGCTCCGGCAAAGAAACAGCACGAAGATTCCGCGACTCTCCTTTTCGGGCTCTGTTTAAAGGCGAAGATGCTCCTCATCTCATCGCATGATGGCAAACCTTCACCTCTCTCGTGTAATAACACCATTAGCCCGATTATCTTCTTCCA